TTTTTTTTTTTTTTTTTTGTAAATTCAAAGGCATCAAAATTAAAAAGCGAAAAAGGAATTGAAATATTAAAAATGGAGAGGAGGAATCAAATTTCATTATTATTAAAATTTTTTTAATAACTTTTTAAGTAGCCACAAACTAAACGCAAAATATTTTTATTTAACGTACAAAAAACAATCTCAAAACTCAAAAACCAATAAAAAAAAAAAATTATTTACTACGTGAATCGTGCGAGTTTCATTTAAAATTTTTTTTTTTAAATTTCTACTACGCAAATCAAATAAGCAACTGAAAAAAAATTTTTTAAATTTTACCAGACGCGAACCCTTAATATTATTATTGAAAAAAAAGGGAAAAATTCTTTGGATTTTGAAAATTAATTAAATTTAATTAATTAAAAATAATAATTATTAAACGATGGAAAAGTATTATCAGATGTTTTCTTATCGGTCAAACATTCTCCCTTTTCAAAATTTTACCTTTTTTTTTTGTTTAAGGGATAAAAAATATTTTATTTTTTCATAATTTTGTTTTTTTTTTTTTCTCTCTCTCTCTCTCTTTTCATGGAGAAAATGAATAAAAATTTTAAGGTAAGATTTGTTAATAAATATACAAAAAAATTTTTTTTCTGGAAAATAAATAATAATGATGATTTTTGTACACTAAGTAAATAAAAGGTTAATTTAATTTTGTTCCTTTTCATTTTTTTTTGCTTTTGGAAAAGGTTTAAATGTGTTAATACTTAAGTAGTAACTGTTGCGGTTGTAGTTGTTGTTGTTGTTTTCAAAATTGTAGCAGTAGCAATAGTTTTTGTTGTTTTATTATTATCATAATTAGTAGAAATATTAGTAATAGTTGCTGTTGCTCTTCTTTTATTATTATTATTTTCACTTTTAAACACGACAACCTTCTAAATACTTGTCAGAGTTTTTAAAATTTTTTCCAGGTTTCTACTCGATTCCATAGTTCTGCTTCTGCCTTCGAAGAATATGGGACGTCCCACATAGTGCGATTTCCTGGATGGTTTCTTCTTTTAAGTTCTTCAAAATCTTCTTTAAATTTCCTTTTATTAAGTGTGGCATGGCTCCCAGTGCTCCCACGATGACCGGAATCGTTTCTGTCCTTACTTCCCACATCCTATTCAGCCTTGTGTTCGCTTCTTTGGCTGTCTTTGGCTGTTTTTTTCTGCCGGC